AAATGCATTATTTTTTTACAGTATTATTTGGGTTGCTCAGTGTTTTTAAACAACATGCTTGGATATTACTTACTTAAACCAGTCGTTTCAATACAAGTCGTTTCGATTCGAATTCAAGCAGTGAAATTGTACAAAAAATTTGACCACTTCAAGTTAAGTTTAGGCGTTAACAAGAAAAACATTTTGGCGTGAATGTTCTTTGTTCTTTACGGCAAGTATTTGAAACTATTTACACCTGGACTGAATAAACTTTTATCGAAACGATCCGCAACCGCTTGTGAACAGGCTCCCCGTTTGGGGAAAAAAGGATATTTATTGCGGGAAGAGGGGAAGTGGAGAAATGGCCGGGGCCACCCCTTCCCCTTCAGTCCCTATACTTAACTATAGCCTTTCTCCCTTTTCCCCAACCAAGGAGCCTGGTGCTAGGCTAGCTCGGATATAACCAGTGCCTAACTTCTCTTACAAAGCTGGTTTAATTAAAAGACATGGTGTTTTTTTTATTATCATGGCATCTTTTTTTTTTGCTTTTAGGTTACCAGGTGATTACTACTCCTCTTCCATCCGGTGGACCTGTATTGGTATCCATGCTGAATATACTGGAAGGATTTAACTTTACTCGAGAAGATCAAGACAAGAGCCTTACCTATCACTATATTGTAGAGGCCATAAAGTTTGCGTTTGCCGAAAGATCATTGCTTGAGGACAGCAAGAACGCTACTAACATTACCAAGAGAATATTAAGGTAAAGGTTACGACCACAAGAATGGCTTGCTACTGCGCTTTTTCAACTAAGGTTTGCGTTCTTCCCCAGCGTCAATCATCGTAGGAAAATTACGTTTATTTCAACGAAATTAAAAGGTCATGGTTAGAGGTTTGTGATTGGTAGGAATATTGCATGGTAAATTCGAGACTGCAGGACCCTAGTTTTAAAATTTCGAGCCCGAGACGGAAGCCCACCAATATATTGCCTTGTTTTACTTTCTTAATCTACTAACTAAGTTCGATAAGCTGTATCGGCATGAACTCTCGTGAACTCTCAAAAGTTCGACTCCTGAAGACCAAACGGAAAGAAAAAACGACAAATCCGAGACTCCGAAACCCGTCGGCGAAAAAGACTGAAAAAAAAATTCGAGACTCCGAGACGCAAAAATCACCCGAACACGGGACTTCGAGATCCGTCAAAAACTTTTCCGAGGTTTCGAGATTGGGCCAAAATTGAGACCCACGTTTTTCCTCCGTGTTCTTAATGCCAGTTGGCGAGACCGAGTTACCAACGCCGAAATGTGTACGGCGGCCTTCCAACTTTGTCAGACAGGATCGGATTCAGAAGACTTGGCCTTACGGGCCATTGCCACTGTCCCCGCGAATTGCCAGCAAGCCAGCTTGTCCTTTGGCGGCCAACACACGGACACCTAGGACGCGGCCGCCCAATGTCTTCATTTATAGACACTCTGATGAGGGACGCTCGGGTGGCATCCACCAGCGAACTCTCAGTCTGCATGGACAATAGAGCGGACTGGGCGGCCAGTTGTATACCCCTATTGGTGGATTTCGATCTGTTTTGTGTTTCTGTGTTTCAAGACTCGTTAGTTGTGATCGTAATTATGATTGACACCAGCAAAAAAGGCAATTGCAAGCTGGCGTTTTAATTTCAAAGTTCGCTTGTTATTGACTCGAGAGCTGTTCAAATTTTTACCCAAATTTATAGAAGAGATGACTGTCGGGTTTATTAACGCAGATGACGCTACATGTAAATGTCTTCATGAATGCAGAATGGCGTGAATTGAGCGGAGCCTTATACCTACAAAGCAAGAAAGAATAAAAAGTCCACTGACTTGAAGGTTTTGGCGTTTTATGAACTCGCCTCGATTTAAACTTGCTGTAAAGTGTATTAAATGAAATCCTAAGTAGCTAGGTAGGCAGGTAGGTGGGTGGGTGGGTGGGTGAGGGTAGGACTGTTGTGACTGACGTTTTGACAACCTATGCGGAAGTCATCTTTAGGTTCAAAGTGAATAACTGCTCGTCATTCTCAACAATTGTCCTATTCAGGATAGCCTGCCTCAGGCGTTCCCCCTTCCCCTTCCCCTTTTAACGCCTGCCACGCAGGCTATATTCAGGACTTCACTTTACCCGGACTATCATATACCACCCGCTTATGACATGGTTCAAACCATTTACAATAAGTGCCATCTTGTTTGTTCATTGCCCGTGTTTTGGTCTTTTAACTGTAAGTTTGAACTCTTCTTTTTCAGCAAAGAGTACGCAAGGTTGCTCCGATCAAAAATTTCTGCCAATAGGACGTATGGAGAATCTCATTATGGACTTGATGTTGATCAATCCTTACCACATGGTACAGCGCATGTGTCAGTTATAGGCCCTGATGGGGACATCGTAAGTCTCACCAGGTGAGGGTGAAGTAGAGTTTAAGCGTCGGAGTTTCAATCGTGAGGTCCGGGTACAAACCCCGGTGGTGGTGGGGGGGGGGGGGGGGGGGGGGGGGGG